ACATAACATAACATAACATCACGCCTTTTATCCCCGAAGGGGTAGGCAGAGGTGCACATTATGCCACTGTACAATGTAACACCCACTTTTCACTATTTATGTTATAAGTCCCATGTAATAGAGGGTGAGCCTATTGCCATATACCGGGCACAATTCCAGACTCCGTGCTACCACTGTGAATTTTTTGAAAAACCCAGAAATACTTTGCCCGACCCGAGAATCGAACCCGAGACCCCTTGCCCGGCAGTCGTACTTGCGACCACTCGGCCAATGAGGCAGTCAATCTTATTTGAATTCAATTTAGGTAAAGCAAAGTATATTTATATAACATATTTATTCTTTAAACAATTTTCAATTAACTGAGAAATACATAATACACAACTGATAAAAGATGCGTACCTATTTCATAATGCTATATGATATCTTTTATCTTGTAAAACTAATATTATAATTTCCTGTTATGTTTCCATTTCGATCTACAAAAGACATGGTTTGTTTAAAGTAAGCTTGTGTTTCGATACTATTAATAATATGACTTGGGTCTAATATTTCGATAGACCTACCCCTGTAACTTCTCGTCCGCAACTTCTTCAGAAGATAGCGTTAAACCAGTAAATAAAACTCGAACCAGAAAATACAGAAACTTTACACTTAGTATTATTAATTAAAAATATATAATTCACTTACAACGGTTTTGGTCAGTATATTGTTAGGCCTGTAATCACCATGGCACAGACATCGTCGTATAGACTCATCTTCATAAAAACTCGTGAATCGCTCCACAATATTTTCACAAAACTTCTCAACTTGTTCCTTGACTCCATCGTCTATATTATCCATTACCGTCTTAATCATATTCTGTGCAAGACCTTGCCATTGCTCACCAGCATTATATGGTGCTTTCCTAGTTTTAATTTGCTCTTCAAAAAAGTCTGGTCGCTTTACCTTTAGCACGAAAGCAAATGCATGAAATTTAGCAAGTTCTGCAATAGCCTTTTCTGCAAACTGTAAAGATGGAACATCCATCCTATGTCCAGTACTGAATCCCTTTTTTGCGACATTTTCCATTATAATCACTTCTGCATCACTCTCTTCATAACTCTTGACCATTTTGTACCTTTCCTTCTCTGGTACATTAGCTTCTTCTTGTAGTTCATCGAATATCTTCAGAAGTACTTTGTAAGCGAACATTTCAGTTTTATAGACGTCGTGTACAGATAGTATTTCCAAATCACAGTTACCTGTGAGAATGCTTTTGACGAATATATTTAGTTCTTTCTTGCCTTCTTTAGTGTGTCCATTTACATCGACTTCGTAAAGTAATCCTAGATAATTGCCTCCATTTGTACAGAATTCTTTCTTTTCAATGCTGTACTTGAGAAATCCGTTGTTGTCTGCTATATTTCTGATACACTGATCGACTTTATTTAAGATCTTATTTGGGCAGATGTATTGATTTTTGAGTTTGAAATTTTCAGGATGTATTTCGACTTCCATTATGAATGAGAACGATGACACTATCGTAACGACTATTCAGATACTATGCCTGCTTACAACACAATACTTACTTAAATAACAAACGCTATTAATGATAAAGGGTTTATGCACACTGGAGTTGCATTATGTTTTGTTTTATTTATCAGTGGTAGCCAGGTGGCGAATTATTAGAGCTGTCACAGACCTACCTACAATATATATTATAGCTATATTTTCCTTTAACATTGTTACAAAAATAAACTTTATTTATGAACATGGATCATGTTCCTTATAAAGAACTTATATGTTCGATATAAGAATGAAATTAAAAACTGATCAGATGGTTTTTGACAACAAAATTGCCCAACAAATATATGTAGAATATTTAATATTTATAAGTAAATCAACCTATGTTCTTTATTAGATTTTTGCAACCTTATATTTTATATATAAAGTCGGAACACCCTTGAAAAAAGTGTACATATTAGAGTAGTTACTGTTTCACTATACTTAAGATTATACCAACTGATTTAATCTCCTTTAAACATCAAGTTAACAAATTCTATCTAAAATCGCTGCAACGCTATGTCGATATATATTTACGTATTGTACGTAGATATTTTATGCTAATGACGGTATATATATTTCCTATTATGTAATATATTACCTGTAGAATTATTTTATTATTTTTTCTTTTTGCTGGTAATTTGTTCTCCGTACCTTATTTTTTGCTGATTTTTTACTTAAACCCTAAGGTAGAGAGTGCCATATGGCATTAAGTTCACCTTATGTGCCATTATTTAATCAAAATTGTGTACATAAAAGACTAAATAATATGAAAATATAGGCAAGTATGTAAAACATTAAAATGGCAATGGGCAGGGCATAATTATGATAAGAGAGAGTAATATGAAATGGACAAAGACAATATCAGAATGGTACCCCAGAGATGGGAAAAGGAGCAAAAGGCGATAACCAAAGTGTTAGGAAGATGACCTAAGGAGAACTGCTGAACCAGAGTAGAGAATTGAGAAATGCGACGGATAGGAAAAAGTGGAAATCTGTATTATAACTTTCGTGAGACATACTAAATATATTATTATGTTTTCGGCTTAGTCACATAATTATTTGACGAGGAACTTAACTAGTTTCAAACCATACTAGAGGCTCATATTCATAAGCAGCATTTAACCAAACCATAATAATAATATATGGCGACAGTCGCCGCGTCGCGGGTCGCGAAATGCTGCTCATGAATATGAGCCTCTAGTATGGCTGTCGCGGAGAACCTAACGGGTAACCGGGGCTCCGGCTCGACGTGCAGGAGAAGGAACGGGGTGGTTTTTAGTCAGTAAGAGTCTGACACTCCCTCCCGCCTCACCCAGGCGGGGGCAGTCATTCGATGATTTTCCACCCTTAAAAAAAAAAAAAAGTATGGCTTGAACTTAGTCGAGTTCCTAGTCAAATAATTACGTGAGTAAGCCGAAAATATAATAATATAAGTGGAAATCTTTACACTATGTCGAAAGACAAGCTGGAGATAAAAGTACTGAATCACAATAATAGTGAATGAATTGTAAGTTTGTAACCTCAGTAATAAGGGTTTATTTTCTTTTATTTTTTATTAAATAAATATAACCTTGTAGTGTGGTGTGCACTTAACAATGACTTTTAAAATTGCGACTCCTCAACACTGGTTCCATTCATTACGCTATACAAACAAAGACCCATCAAATATAATCATTGGATGCATTGTACTTCAATCAAAAGTGCCTTATTAATAAAATTATATGAATTCCTATTTGTTCAGTTAATGTGATGATAAGATAAAAAAGATAAAAATTAAAGGTTTCAATATTTACACGTTTATTCTAGAATTAGTTTAAATGGAAACTGGAATTCCATAGACAATGTATTTATTTACTAAATATATTATTAGGTATTTGTATTTTAACTGTCTTATATTTTCTTACTTTTGGATTTATCTGCGTGCCAATGGCTGTATTTTTTTTTATTTATTAATTTCTATAAGTAATTGCAAACAAGTTAACATTGTTCCTAATATTACATTCACAGACTACCCTTATGCTATATACCTAAGGAGGAGGCGGGACACGTGAGGCAGCGAAGCCCTGCCTCCTCGCAACCCAGCCATCGCGAAGGACAATCTGGGCATCGAGGATGGCAGGACGATCTCCAGCCACCGCAAGCGTGGGCCTGCGAACGGCGAGCATGGGTGGCTCCTCGTCCGACCTGGAAACAGACCCGAGCGTACGGCGCGTCGCGTTCCGCGCGCGCCTCAATGAGCCTTCAGACCACAACGGATGGGGCCCAACAGGGCTGATGCCAATTCGGAGTCGCGGAGAACCTAACGGGTTATCGGGGCTCCGGCTCGACGTGCAGGAGAAGAAACGTGGTGGTTTTTAGTCAGTAAGAGTCTGACACTCCCGCCCGCCTCACCCAGGCGGGAGCAGGTATTCGATGATTTTCCCCCTTTAATAGGAACCCCACAGTTTCACTCGCTCTGCTCGGCACTTATTGATTGAAGCGTAATGTTTTACAGCCTATGGCCTTCCTTGATAAATGGCCTATGCAACACAAAAATAATACAGTAGTTCCGGAGATTAACGCGTTCACACAAACAAACAAACCCTTCAGATTCATATTCTTGAGCCTTATGCATAAAGTCAATTATTATTATAATACGTATAAATTATTAAATAAATTCAAAACGTAAATATACGTCATCGTAGAAATATAATGATGATAATGCAATATTATCTTAATAACACATACATATAAAGTCTCATTTCCTGTAAATATTTGCATAGTAGTTATTGCAAGTAATCTGCTTGCGTGTTGTCTTTGTGCTTGCACATTTCTACATACAAAGTAAACATTGTGTTTAGTTTTCTTTGACATTCAATATTATCTACTAATTTATTTTGCAAATCATGGAGTTAACAAGGACGTTGAAAAAAACACGGATATAATGTCACTTACAAACGATTGAAGCACCAAAATGTCAGTGGTTTATGCATGTGTGCGTGTATAATAAGTTACAACGTTACCAGGTTTAAGAGAATGACAGATGTCTTTCGTTTCAATGTGTGTATGTTCAGCGTGTAAGTCTATAGTAGCCAGGTGCCACAGTCGTTGTTTCCAAAGACTGTGTTCGCCTTTTTAACGGCTTTGAGAGTATAGAGTTTTTGGATAATTATGTTTTAAAATGAAATATTATTTAGCGTGGAGTATAGAATCATGCCCGACGTCTTTTTAATAGAAACAAAACAGTTTACAAATTTAGTAATCGACTTTATCCCTTAAAACTTAGAATCGATTTTGGTTTTTGACAAAAACTCCATGTAGGTACGAGTAGGTAAGTAATGACCAAAATTACTTTTAATTTAAACATTATTTTGAATTTAAATCCATTGTTAATTTCAAAAACAAATTTATAAAAATAATTAGTTACTTAGAACTAATATATTTTTTGTAAATATAAGAATAGATCTCCGAAACATAGTCCAGTCTCCAAAAAAATGCCTATCAACCTATTTCAAGCTACACATCTTCAGTTAGGTAAATCGTAGGTATGGTCGTATGGACCTACGCATACAGAGCCGCGGAAGACTTAACGGGATGCTGGGACTCCGGCTCGAAGTGCAGGAGTAGGAACGGGGTGGGTTTTAGTCAGTAAGAGTCTAACACTCGCTCTCGCCTCACCCGGGCGGGATAATCATTGGATGACATTCCCCACTCAAAAAAATATAAGGTATGGACGTACACATCTTACGATTTTACAGTTCGACTGTACATTTAAACTCCTCAGTTAAGCCGTAAGGTGTGTAGCGTGCTTTATTACTAGTGTTCTTTTATGCCTATAGTTATAAATAGCAATGTGGTATGTCATTTATTCCCAGAATGTCAGCTCATGTTATGTTATTATGTACAGTGTACAAGTATACGCGGCGGAATGACTCACCGTTTTTTACTTCATTAATGGCGGTTGGTACTTAGGCTACACTGAAAGGGGGCGCGGCTGATGGCATGGTGAAAATGTCATTTCAACTACAAATTACATACATACATATTTATCTCAGACTGCCTCATTCACCGAGTGTTCGCAATTGCGACCGCCGGGCAACGGGACTCGGGTTCGGTTCAGTCGGGCAAAGTTATACTATACTGGGTTTTTTTAAATCGTAATCGTCAGTAATAGCATGGATTCTGGGATTTTGCCCAGTTTATGGCAATAAGCTTACCGCCTATTACATGGGACTCATAACATTAAAAGTGAAAAGTGTATGTTACATTGTACAGAGACATTAAGTGCCGTAATGTGCACCTCTGCCTACCCCTTCGGGGATAAAAGGCTGATGTTATGACTGCACGGTTAGCGTGGCGGCTGGGCAACTGACTGAACTGACTGAACAACTCTTTGTGTGATCGACAGTTTGTTGTTTCGAGTCTGAGTGTCATGTGTATGTGAACTTGTATGTTTGTAACCGCCCTCACGATACATAAGAAATTGCAAGTATGGGGCAACGTTTTAAAAAAATAACATGGATTGCTAATTCTCGTCTCAGTTTAAAACGGACATAAAACACGTAAATAGTTACATTGCTATTAGTCAGGTTACGAACCTGCACTCTTTATCAGACATTTTAGTTTGACGTTCTTAGGTTTTGAAAACTCACCTGAATATATTGAGAAAAGCTCTACTAGTTTCAAACCACAGAGGGGTTCTTCCTTATGAGGAGCGTGCGGGGTCACGGCGTCGCCGCGTAACGTAAGTAACCCGTGATTTTAGTTAATTTAGTATGTCTCACGATAGTTATTATAAAAACAAAGACGGTCTTCATCAATATATGAGAAAAAAGCCACATGACTAGAAAACAGGTGTTCTTTCACATTACCTTCCAATAACAATTAATAATGTACAAGTATAATAAAATAATATACAGTTGCTTAACAATAAATTCATTATTAATGTCTTCGCTATGAAAGTCTTCGGTAGAGAGGGTAAAGAATAGAGTAATGTCCAAATACTCAAACGACACTCCATTTTGAAATCGCGCTCAAGCGTATATAATAAGTATTAGTTCTGTCTCTACATATT